ATCCAAGCTATAAGATATTTGAAGGTAGGCGAATGAAGATTCACCAATTTCCACCATGAAAACGAAATAATTTATTAGGTTTTTACTTGGATTTGAAACTCCTAGATCTTTTGAGATTCATTGAACTTTTCAATGGCATGTTTCAATCTCGATTGTGCCCTCTCAAATTTTGTGATTGGGATGCCGAGGATCACAAAACAAGGTGTGAATAACCATGCAAATATACTTGGTACCCTTAATATTTACCCCTCAATCGATGTGCCGGTTAACCGCACACGCTCCACTGATACTATGATAAACATTAAGTTACCTTTTGCCTACCTTGTTCAATCCAGGTTAGTGTTCCGGTTACCCACACGCGCTCCACTAACGACTTAAGCAAAGTGCAAAGCGTAATTTCATGGTTTAGCACCAAATTCACATTTTCCTAAGTAACTAAGATTGGGAATTTATAAAAGGTTTAGTTACTTAGTATTTATCATTAATACTTTTAATGAAGGGAGAATTATAGTCCTTGTCCTACACATTCGGCTAACGACCCTCCACCAGTCAAGGAAGCGGTGGGTGAGAGTGGACACCCATTAAACTGCCATTTTATAAGCAGTAACCTTATACCCCCCTTATAGACCGGCTTCGTGAATGAGGCCTACTAACGGTAAGACTGACTTGATCTTATACATATATATATTATTAACTTATAATACTATAAAGTATAAGGGTTGAATTTTACCTTTTAAAATTCTAGGGCTTAACTTGGAATTAAAGTATTCATGAGGGGAACTTTACAAATTCCAAAACTTGAGGGCAAGTTTTGAACTATTCAAAAACTTTTGGATTTTCATAACTTATGAGTTTAATTAAAGTTTTAAAGACTTTAATGAAGAGACTCTTGAACATCCATAACTTGAGGACAAGTTATGGAGTTCATAAAACTATTTACGACAAAGATGACTCTTCAATTGTGTAACCTATGACACTTTTATAAGTTTTAAAATTCATAAATGTGACTTTTCATATAACTTGAGGGCAAGTTACAAAAACACATTTTATGAACTATTTCTAGCTCAATTCGGATTGAAAACAACTAACACACAATTTTTTTCATTAATCTAAATTAACTCATAAAACAAGGTAACACAAAAAAAACTTTTAATCAATTTTTTTTTAAAACCTTTTCATATCCATAACTTATGGAGGTTTCAAAAAACTCTTTAGATCAAACTATTAAAACTAATAAAATAATCATATCATTTTATCTTTTACTAAATTTGACCTAATTCAACTCATATAGCAAATGATTCAAATTATACAAATAATTAGTTTTTCACAAAAACAAGTAATTATCTTAAAATTTGACAAACGTCATGTTTTTTTTCTTTATTTTTCAACTTTGAAAATAAAACATTTGCATCAATATAACAGAAAACAACCCATGGCTCTGATACCACTGATGGGTTATGAGCATTCTAACACTCCTAAGTGTACATGCAACCCTAAATACCTGGATCAAAAAACTTTGATTCATATAACATATAACAAGTTAGAATACAAACCTCTTTGATGTAGCTTGATTCCATGGAGCTTAAGGGGCTAGTGCCCCAAGTGTGACACCTCAAATGGTTCACACAACATCAAATGCACTTGGAATGACTTGAGAGAAATGGAACACTTCATGAAATCGGCTAGCCCTCACTTGTTCCACTAGTGGCCGATTTTGACAAGAACAATATGTTTATACAGTGTGTCACAATTAGGGTAAACCCTAATTGTCATGGCTTTCCATTTCCTTGGATCCATAGGTTCAAATACACCATGGATCATCCATGGAGCATCCTATGGGTTTTAGCCCAACTTGATAATCCATGGAGCATTATCCCACTATACAAGTATGGATGATGTACACAATCAACCCATATATTTAATTAGTCTTCTTTTGATCACTTAATTAATTCCAAATTAATTTTTGATCAATACTAATTAAATAATCTTATTAATATATTAGAACTTATAATATATTAATAAACCTTAAGTGTTATTTCTCTCATTTTAGTCTATCCAAATGCATGATGCCATGCAACCCAAATGGACCATGCCAAGTCGGGTCAAGTACATACCAAATATAGTTATGGACTTAGACACTAATCCAACAGAAACACCCTTCCACATCAGATAGCCACCTCATGGCCACGATCGGGTCTTGAACTCCATCGAAATTTGGGGCCTTCGTATTATCAAAGTCCCGATTCTGAAAGACCCACCTTGCCCCAACACCTGCAATCGCCACGGCTGCGGAGGCTGCAGCAGCAGCCGTCTCAGCAATGGCCGAATAGCGATCATCAAAGAACTCCATCATCACGGTCTTGATGGACCCGAACATCTCCGGAATCTGACTCCGGGCGATAACAACCATCACCTTGCGGATTATCTCCCTGACGCGGTCCTCTGACAATGCTGGCCCGCCCTGACTGCCAGCTCCTGATCCCGACCTGGATTTGATCTCAACTCGTCTCGTAGTCACCATACTGAAAATACACTAGGAATATATCAGATAATCCACATAGCATAACGGGGAATCAACTGCCAACGAAGCCCCAGGGGTTGTAACTTCCTTGTTACGCGTATGGGTCCTATGCTTTCAGTAGTACGGGCCCATACTACCTTCCACACCTACCCATATTTGTCTAAAGGATCATCACAACACCATAAAAATACTCATAAGCATAAATATACACTCAATCCTCACTTTCTAAAGGAAAGGCTAAACATCTCACAATTGGCCGGCTGACCCTACACCACTCGTCCATGAAACTTCCACCGACCCTGTAGCACTCGTGTATGCTAGTCATACATAACACTGGACCCTATAGACATTTAAGTATTTGTTCCTACCCTAAGACCTTCATCAAACAAGAACATGAAATAAGGCCATAACACACATTCTCATGCTATATGATCTTAGTTATATATAACCATGATGCATACACTAAGCAACTACAGTCATGATGTCAATTCCATAAAAGAAAGGCCCTAGGCTATGAGGTATCATACAATCAGGCAATTCTATCATGCAATTCCTGAAGATCCCTAGCTTATCACTAGCATGTTGTTCTAACATATCACAATATCAAATAAAAATATGGTATTTTGGGGTCTAATTACTGGCTCCGGCTAATCGTACACATCGCATCCTCTTTGAGTATTTTGAAAACCTTTTTGATAATTATTTTGAAAATCTTTTCCTTAGTTTGAGATTGGATTCACACAAGTGTTCCTCCAATTCACTCAAACCAAGGCTCTGATACCAACTTGTAACATTCATAAAATTCTAGAAAATTTTAAACTTTTTAAACAACCCAAAAATCATAATTGATTACAATTTGTTTTCAAAATTAGTTTCACATCAGAGAAATCCCAAAATCATAAAACCAAAAACATGAGGAGGTGCACGATCATGCCTTCGCCTTTCCGCGATCCTCTGAAGTACCTGAAACACAATCCAAAACTGTAAGCTCAAAGCTTAGTGAGTTCCCCCAAAATACCACCACACACATAATCATAAATATCACAGTAACAACACGCATACAGAACCTTCAGCATGTTTGGACTGCCACACTGGGCCTTCAGCCTGTCTGGACCATTCTCCGAGCCTTCGGCCTGGCTGGACCGCCTCATAGGCCTTCAGTATATCGGGGCCGCCCTAGGCCTGTTGGCCTTCAGCACAAAGTAGGACCGCCTCAACCCAACCACACGCATGTCGATATATACATAACTAATAAACATGTAAATATCAGTCAACAAACAAACACAGATCTTACAGATCAATAAGCATAGCATTATCCTATCTACCAGGATACAGATCTAACAGATCACTATAATCCTTAATCATGCAATATTCAGCATACTCAATCCAAAAAGGGTCGACCTTGGTGCCTTTGGCCCAATCAAGTTTAGTGAGGAACACTCACCTCACAATTAGTACTGAACTGATAAGATCCAACTCCAAATCTATGCTCTTGACTCAAATGCCTACAACCACCATATGACCAATTCCATCAAAACCCCAAAATACCCGAAATGCCCTTAACAGTCAAACTTGGTCAACCATGGTCAAAGTCGAAGTCAACAGTTAAGGTCAACAGTCCATGTTGACCCAACTCAGCGAGTGCACCTACCAACTCGTCGAGTTTCTACACTACTCAGAAATTCGAGAAAACCATAGCCAACTCGCCGAGTTGGCTGGAAAACTCATCGATTTTTCCTAGCTTAACACATTCAGCCCTTTTTTATCGAGTCTAATGCTTTAAGATGTAGATCTGGCACCCAAGAGCTAAAAATCCACGTAAAGTTTTGCAACTTTACGTTCATGCATGCCACAAAGAGGCTCTAGAACTCAGGAAATGTTTAATAAAGAACTTAATGCACGAATCAGGCCTAGAACCTAATAAAGCTTGCAACTTTAAGCCAAATGAGGCCACAAAATGGCCAGATTTAAAGTGACAATCCATGAAATGATCAACCACATGAACAATCCAAAACTGAGCCAAATAACATCATAAAACTTAGGAAGAGATCTAATAAATAAGAGAGTAAGGTGTCGAATTTATACCTCAAAATGACTGCAACACGTGAGGAGGTTCTGGATCTATATCCTTCCTTTCAATGTGGACACCTCAAACTTCAACCTCCTTTAAAAGAACACCAAAAACCAACTCTTCAAGATTACACACTCAACTTTGGAAGATGATGCATGAAAAATTAGGGTTTCTGGACAGAGGAGGCAGGTAAGGAGGCCAGCCAAGGGACTTAAGGCCTTTAAACATGCTGCAACATCCTAAAAATTAGGGTTTTATAATCAACTTGTGGCACCTCGATTCGCCGAGTTGGTCCATTAATATCCGCGATCAATATCACTTTAACACGACGAGTTGCGGCCTTCTAACTCTTCGAGTTGCCAAGGAAAATCATGATTATAGATTTAAATTTCATACCTGAGGATTGAGATGTTACAGGAGTTGAAAAGGTTGAATGAAGATTTGCAACTAAAATTGGATAATGCCATGAGTTGTCGTGTATCTGCCATCAAGGAACTCGAGGGTATCTCTCAACAGTACCATTCGCTGAAGTCGCAATATACGGAGAAGGTTTCTCATTTGGAAATCGCCTGCTCTAGCAAATATGTGAGTATTAAGTTGCAAGACGAGGAGTTAGCCATGGTGAAGCTCCTGATGTTGGAGAACGATGCCCAAGTTACCACCTTGAGCAACTCACAACTTATGGTGGAGCAGAATACAACAAGTTGCCAGTCCGGAGTGGATCAAAAGGTTGAGAAGCTACGATGGGTCATAAAGGAAGGAATTCCTAACTTTGTTCGGACATTGTCTGATTCTAGTGACTTTGGGGCCATGAATGCCGCCTTGCAGACATCTTCTATCAAGCTTGGCCTTTATCAAGCCTGTGTGCAAATGAAAGCTAGGTAGCCCGCGGAGCTGAAAGGTAGAAATGTTTTATACTCGTAGCCAGATGCGCAGCGCCAAATTATGGAACCTTTGCTGAAATGACAACATACAAGTACCCGTTGGTGTTTGCCTTGGAGAGTGAGGAGATGGATGTTGGTGGTTTGAAGAAATTGTTGAAGGTTGTGGATTCATCTGGGGCTGATGAGGTTGGATCAGGCTAGGGTTTGGGAATTGTATTTGTGTTTCTTATAATTTGAACTTTTGAACTTGTAAGCATAACTTTTATTTTGCCAACGCTCTGGAATAGTTTTTTGTTATCTTGTAATGACACCTTGCTAATTGACAATGTGATCTTCCTCTATTTGCTCGAATCCTTTTTCTTCTTATCTGTGTAATTGTATAGGTAACAGTTGGCATCTAATTTCGTATTGACTAAAGCATTTGTCAGACTTTGAAATACTCCATCCGTTAACTCAGGTGTTATGCTTAGTATATTGCTCAAACCATTGGGTTTGAACCTAAGGTTCGAGTAATTGGAATATTGGGCCATAAGTTGAAGGATTATGGCGGTGTTTGTAAGTTTCTCAAACCATTAGATCTGAACCAAAGGTTCGATTAATAGGAACATCGAGCCATAATTTGGAGGATTATGGCGATGTTTGTAAGTTGCTTGAACCATTAGGTCAGAACCTTAGGTTCGAGTAATAAGAACATGGAGCCATAATTTGGAGGATTATGGCGATGTTTGTAAATTTCTCGAACCATTAGGTCTGAACCTAAGGTTCGAGTAATAAGAATATCGAGCCATAATTTGGAGGATTATAGAGATGTTTGTAAGTTGCTCAACCATTAGTTATGAACCTAAGGTTCGAGTAATAAGAACATCGAGTTATAATTTGTAGGATTATGGTGATGTTTGTAAGTTGCTCGAACCATTAGGTCTGAACCTAAGGTTCGAGTAATAAGAACATTGAGCCATAATTTGGAGGATTATGGCGATGTTTGTAAGTTTCTCGAACCATTAGTCTGAACCTAAGGTTCAAGTAATAAGAACATCGAGCCATAATTTGGAGGATTATGGCGATGTTTGTTAGCTGCTCGAACCATTAGGTCTGAACCTAAGGTTCGAGCAATAGGAACATCGATCCATAATTTGAAGGATTCTGGCGATGTTTGTAAGTTGCTCGAACCATTAGGTCTGAACCTAAGTTTTGAGTAATAAGAACATCGAGCCATAATTTGGAGGATTATGGCGATGTTTGTAAGTTGCTCGAACCATTAGGTCTGAACCTATCGTTCGAGTAATAAAAACATCGATCCATAATTAGGAGGATTATGGTGATGTTTGTAAGTTGATCAAACCATTAGGTCTGAACCTAAGGTTCAAGTAATAATAACATCGAGCCATAATTTGGAGGATTACGGCAATGTTTGTAAGTTGCTCGAACCATAAGGTCTGAACCTAAGGATCGAGTAATAAGAACATCGAGCCGTAATTTCGAGGATTATGGCGATGTTTGTTAGTTGCTCGAACCATTAGGTCTGAACCTAAGGTTCGAGTAATAAGAGCATCGAGAAATAATTTGAAGGATTATGGCGATGTTTGTAAGTTGCTCGAACCATTAGGTCTGAACCTAAGGTTCAAGTAATAAGAACATCGAGCCATAACTTAGAGGATTATGGCGATGTTTGTAAGATATAGACTTGACTACTAGTAATCGATAGGATTGAAAGGAATGAAAGATATCATTTTAGAATAAGTAATCGAATTAAATCAAAAAGAACAGTAAAAGTTCTGAATTCTAAAATGTCATCGTCGCTTGATTTCTTTCCCCTCGGTTATCATGCATGCTTTTTTCGAAAGTGGAATTTATGGAGATTACGCATGTTCCACGTTCTTGGTAAGCAGGTCCCATCCAATGTTTCCATAACATAAGCTCCACTTTGTCTAACTTCGACCACTCGATATGGCCCTTCCCAGTTTGCACGTAGTTTTCCAATAGGCTCTTGTCTGCTTGCTTTGTTCTTGCGTAGAACCAAATCACCTACTTTACACAATGTGTTTTTTACCCTAGTGTTATACTATCACTCCATCAGTACCTTATAATTGGTTTTTCATATGGCAGCTTCTTCCTGCTTCTCCTCTAATAGGTCTAGGTTTGTCCGGAGGTTCGCTGTGTTTGACCGTATCTGTGGATTTTTGGTTCGTGTGGTCTGGATCATTACTTCAATAGGGATGACTGCTTCCGTCCCATACACCAAGCGGAATGGAGTTTCTTTGGTTGGTGTCCACACCATGGTTCGGTATGCCCATAACACGTGTTGTAATTCATCAGCTCATTTCCCTTTGGCTTTTCCTAGCCTCTTCTTAATCCCTTTAACTAAAGTTTGATACGTCACTTCTAATTGACCATTGGCCTGTGGGTGAGCTATTGAGGTGAATTTTTGCTGAATCCCCTTTTCTTGGCACCGTTTCTTGAATAGATTCTCGGTGAACTGTTTGCCATTGTCGCTTATGATGGTTTGGGGTAGATCGAAATGACAAACAGTTTGTCTCCATACAAATTTGATAATTCTTTCTCCGGTTATGACCGCAACTGCCTCAGCTTCAACCAATTTGGTGAAGTAATCTATTGCCACGATAAGGAATTTAAGCTTTCCTGGTGCTTCTGGGAAAGGACCCACAATATCAATTCCCCACTGGAGGAACGGACGTGGGCTTGTGATGCTGATCATATCTTGTGGTGGTAGTGCTGGTACATTCACATGTATCTGGTAGTCGTGACACTTCTTAATGAACGCTTATGTATCACGAGTCATGGAAGGCCAGAAATATCCTAGTCGAAGGATCCTCTGGGTGGTTGCTCGTGATCCTCCATGTGCTCTACACATTCCCGAGTGTACTTCTTGCATTACTACTTCCACTTTTGTACTTGTGATACATTTCACCCATGGGGTAGAATAACCTCTCCTGTGCAGCCGACCATCATACATGGTATAATTTGTTACATTAATTTGTATCTTCCTTGCTTCTTTCACATCCTCTGGAAATATGTCTCTTTTCAGAAAAAGGACATTGGGTGTCATCCATGAGGCTTCCTCCTCTAACGCCATCGCTTCATTTTGTGGCTAATCAATGCTCTTTTTTGGAAACACCTCCACTAGGACAGTATTTGACAGGTGACTGAAGGCTATGAGGTGAGTTTACCTAAAGTGTCTGGTTCTTTGTTCTTTTATCATGGAATTTGTGTGATTTTGAATATTTCAAACTTGACGATCCTTGTATGTGTTTGATCCAGGTACTTTTGGATGTGTGTTTCTTTTGCATCATAAGTTCCTTTAATTTGGTTGACCACCAACATCAAGTCACTAAACACTTCAAGATGTGAGATGTTCATGCTTCTTGCCAACCGTAACCCTGCCAACATGGCCTCGTATTCTGTCTCATTGTTCGAACACTTGAATTTGAATCGTAGGGCATAGGTTGACTTGTCCCCATATGGGCTGGTGAGAACAATGCATGCTCCTGAGCCGTCTTTGCTTCATGCCCCATCAGTATGTAGCACCCATGTTTCTTTAGTTTCTTGGGTCGGTTCTTTTGGAATTTCATCAACATCTTTAGGAGTAGTCATCATTGATGGCAGCGGGTCGTCTGGCATTTCTGTCAAGAAGTCAGCTAGAGCATGCCCTTTTATGCTAATTCAGGGTTTATATTTGATGTCATGTTCTCCTATATCTATTGCCCACTTCGTCAGTCTTCCCAAATCTTCTAGTTGTAATAGAATCTGCTTCATTGGTTGGTCGGTTAACACTTCGATGGGATGTGCCTGGAAGTATCTGCGTAATCACCAGGTTGTGTATACCAAAGATAAGACCAATTTTTCTACTTTAGAGTAATTTCGTTTTGCCCCTTGCATTACTCTACTAATGAAGTATACTGGTACTTGATTTGTTCCTCTTTTTGAGAATAATGTTGCACTGATCGCCTCATGACTCGCTGATAGGTACACTGGTAGCACTTCCTTCTTTAAGGGACTTGACATGGTCAGAAGTTGTTTGAGGCATCGCTTCAATTTCTGGAGTGCTTCTTCCGCCTCATCCAACTATAGTATATCTTTCCTCCCTGTGAATGTTTTCAATGTTTGGAAGAAAGGTATCGCCTGGTCTGCTCACTTAGCTAGGAATCGCCCCAATGCTGCTAACTTGCCATTAAGACTTTGTACCTCCTTCACTGTTCGTGGTGTTGTCATTTTCAACAAACTTTCAACCTTTTTAGGGTTCACCTCTATCCCTATTTCTGTTATAATATGGCCCAAGAACTTCCCTCTTTGCACTCTAAAGGTGCATTTCTTTGGGTTGAGCTTCATGTTGGTCTACCGTAGCCTCTTGAGAGTCTCTTCCACATCCGCCAGAAAATCATCATCATCATTGCTCTTGATTACCATATTATCTATATATACCTCAATGTTTCTTCCAAATTGTTGCACGATTTGTCTACCAACCTCTGGTAGGTCGCCCCCGCATTCCGCAATCCGAAAGGCATCTTTGTGTAGCAAAAGGTTCCTTTCTTATTATGAAAAGTTGTTTTGTCTTCATCAACTGCGTCCATCTTCACTTGATGATACCCTTTGTACGCATCCAAGAAAGATTTCCATCAGTATCCTCCTAACGACTCGATCTTCTGCTCTATTTCTAGACGGGGATAGCTATCTTTTGGGCAAGCTTTATTGAGGTCGGTGAAATAAACGCACATTCTCATCATTCCATCTACATTTTTTACTAGCACTGGATTGGCAATCCATTTAGGGAATTGTGTGGCTCGCATGACTCCAGCTTTTACTAGAGCTTCGACTTCCTTTTTGACGATTTCGTTTCTTTCTTTAGCCATGGTATGCTTCTTTTGCTTCACTGGTACGCACGAGGAATTGATGTTCAAGTGATGTTCTATTATTGAACTTGGGATACCTGCCATATCTGTGGGTGCCCATGCGAACACTTCTTGATATATTTTTCAATATCGT